CCGTGCTCCTGCCTCAGATACAGAGGCGGCAGCATGAGAAAGGGGAGGTAGGTGGGAGCCGCCCACCCTTTCCCCCACCCCTGCAATAAAGAGGTAACAGTACAGAGGGTGGGGGAAGGCAGGTGGCTCCCTGCGCATACCGGCTCCCACAGAGCCACCTGCCCCCTGTGCTGCTGCTCTCACCTGCCCCTAATATGCAAACACGTTTACAAAAATAAACATATTTTAATATCCCTACTAGATAGCCATCCCTTTCCCCACCTCAGCACCTGCTAGTCCAATGGGATTATAGCTGTCATGGTCCCCATCTGTGGCTCCCCTTGATGTCCCCTTTGTGGTCACTCTGCAGAATAAACGCCTCCTGCTACTCCCTTCCCTTTCCATGAAAAAAAATCAAATTCTGCACAAATCCCATTATCCTAGCACAACCAAACCCTACCTTGCTATTAAGTTAGGATAAGAGGAAGCTGTGTACCAAAATAGAACTAGCTCTTACCATTTAGGAGGAGTTCTTGAACAAATGGACTCACAAATAGACTGACAGACATTTCTAAAACATACAGAAAGATATCTGTGAAGCACTCAAACTTCTTAGGTGGGAAAATAAACTTGAAAACTATATACTGGCTTCTGTTGAAGATGAAGCCTTACGATAAAAATCTATCAATGCATTTTTTGAAAAGCTGAATGGCTATATTAGCAGGGGCAGTGTCTGAATCAATTATTCAATTATTCAACAAAGTGACAATTTTCATTCTTGGAAACAACTGGACCATTTTATCTGAAACATTACAAAATAATCCAAGCAAATAATAAATTATTTCCAAATTGTGGCAAACATTTTTTATAGAAAATTCCAGCCTTAATGGTTTAAGTTTGGCGAAGACTGCCCATGTTAAAAAAAACCTTGCAACAACTTTGTTGAGATGCTAAAGCTATATTTTACCAATTATCAGCCTCTGAAAATATTGCAGTTCACATGTACTCAGTAGAGACTAGAGTTCAACAGCTAAATTCTCTCAACTGCCTCTGTAGAGCCCTGAATGGGTATAAAACTGGTATCTACATCTGCAAAAATGGTCCACAAATATCTGCATCCACATCCGTGGATGTGAGTACCCATAGATATAAAGCAGCTATCTGCAAATTTGTAGGGTTCTAGAAACAAAATTTGCAACCACATCCATATCCACAAAAATGAGCCATAGATATCTGCATCCACATCCGCAGATTTGCAGGGATCTACCCATCTCTACTAAGCAGACTGCAGGAGTTAACCTGGATTTTTCCTGCAGTTGCTATTCCAGGCAGTAGGGGCCCGGTCTAACACTAGGTATTGGAACAGAGAACAGGAATATCATCTTCCTGCTGCTCTCAGAGTCTCCCCTCAAGCAGCATGGTGGAGGAGAAAGCAGCCTGACTGGAATGCAGAGGGATAGGAGATACAACCTGGCATGGGGCACAGGGAGAGGTTCAGGGTAAGTTAGCTGGGATAGATCTCAAGGAGTAGAAGGATTAGGAACTGGAGACAGAAAAGACGGCCAGAGCAGAGGGGGCCAGAAAATTCAGGAGAAGGGGAAGGAGCTGAGAAATGCGGAGTATATGAGCTGAGTAAAAGGGAGAAGCAGAGGCTCGTAATAAGAGCATACAAGATATAGGCGGGGAGCACTGAAACAGGTGAGGGAACCTGGCAGGAACTAAGCCTAGAGCACCAAAGGGACAGGAATGGAGCAGGAAAAACAGGAAAGACAGAATCAAGGTGGAGGACAAAGATGTATATGGAGAGAGAAGAAGGGGAGAGGGGAACCAGTAATATAGTCTGTAACCCCTACAGAACACTCCCCTCTAGAATTTGGAATTAAACCCATTATTCCCATTTAACAAGTAGCACTGGGTATGTCTACACTAGCCCCCTAGTTCGAACTAGGGAGACTAATAAGGGTGACCGAAATTGCTAATGAAGCGCAGGATTTAAATATCCTGCGCTTGATTAGCATACTCCCAGCCAGTCGCCATTTTGAAAACTGACTAGCCCGAAGTAACTGCCCACGTCTACACACGGCAGAGAAGTGGGATTCCGAGATAAACCCCTTAGTTCTAATTAACTGTTACTCCTCGTGGAATGAGGATATTTAAATCCCGCGCTTCATAAGCAATTTCAGTCACCCTCATTAGCCTCCCTAGTTCGAACTAGAGGGCTAGTGTAGACGTACCCTCTGAAACCCACTGGCAAAGCGGGTCTCATCCTGCTCTTTTGGCAGCCCCACACAGACGATAGCAAGCTTCTACTGAAAACAGTTACCTACCCAGCCCAAACGTTACAGGATTGTGCTGTGGCTCTTTGAGGCTCAATAGTTCTACATCAGTGGTCTCCAACCTTTTAAAGCATGAGATCACTTTTTGAATTCAAGTGCATTCTGAGATCTACCTCAAACCCAAATACCCTGGCCCCGCCTCCTTTGTGCCCCTTCTCTGAGTCTTCTCCCCCTGCTCACTCCATCCTCCTCCCCGCCCCCATTCTCCCTCACTTTCATCAGGCAGGGCCAGCAGGTGGGGGTGCAGGCTCTGGTCTTGGATTAAGGGATTTGGAGTGTGAGAGGGACTCTGACCTGAGCTTAGAGCAAGCAGTTGGGGTGCTGGAGGGGTTTCTAGGTGCAGGCTCTGGGAGGGCATTTGGATGCAGGGGTGCTCAAGGCTAGCGTCGGGGCTTGGAATGCAGGAGGGAGTTCATGACTAGGGTAAGGTTTAAGGCTTTGGGCTCCAACTAGGCACTGCATACATCAGGTGGCTCTTGGGTGGTGGCGGGCTAAGGCAGGCTCACCCCTGCCCTGGCCCTGCACCACTCCTTCCCAAGTCCTGTTGTGCCCCTACTCTGCTCTGTGGAAATAGTATAGAGGATGGGAGAGGGGGCACTTGACATCAGCACCCCTCTTCTCCCTCCCCTATCCTGCACAGCAAGCAGGAGGTTCCCGGGGGTGAAGGGGAGGCAGCTCCAAGGCGAAGAACAGCAGTTGCACAGCAGTGGGAGGAAGGGGCAGCTGAAGTGCCAGCACTTGATAGCCTCTTGGCCAAACCTCTCAAGATCACCTGTCAGAGGCTCCAAGATCTACCAGTAGATCCCGATCTACTGGTTGGTGACCACTGTTCTACATGATAGAATTTTTGTTTTTAAACTTAAAAAAAAAAAAGGAAATTATATAAAAATATACTTAAAATCATTAAATTTGCAAAAGTCAAAAGTTAGAATTAAGATTGTCTTACTTAGTAGCCCATTGCCACAATTCTTTACCTGGAGCTCTTTTGGAGACCTTGTAAGCATATATGTAATTAAATAATTTGTTTTTGCATGTCCATAAAAAGAAATCTTTAGTAAATTAGAATTTTCTGTGCATACTGACAAAATTGTAAGTCTAAACATCTGTGCATGTCAAAAAGATTAATCAATTAAAAATTTCCAAACAATTCATAATAATGTTCATATTACAAATGCAAAAACCAGTATATAAAATTAGTGAGCTGTTATGAGGCTGGTTTGCCTTCCTCTGGATGGTTTGTTTACTATGGTATTCAGGCACTGATTTCAAGGAAGAGAAAGATGAATCAAGTGCTGTATAAAATATGCATCTCTAATTTTAGAAGGGCAGGACTACAGGGGGTTTTCTATCGTTCCACATAATTTCACATCCAATCTACAGTGGTACCGCAGAGTTATAAACGCCTCAGGAATGGAGATTGTTTGTAGCTCTGAAATGTTCACAGCACTGACTGGTTGTACAACACTAGTTGTACTTTCAAAAGTTTACAACTGAAAATTGCCTTAACACAGCTTTGAACCATCATTTTTCTTCTGCATAATACTTTAAATCACTTAATTTAAATGAAACAAGCGCAGAAAGTTTCCTTTCCTTGTCAAACCTTTTTTTTTTAATCCCTTTATTTAAAGTAGTTTATATTTAAAATGGTTGTGTACTATAGCTGTTGTTTTTTGGTTTTTGTCTCCACAGTTGCCTGAATATGCACTTCTGGTTCCAAATGTGGAGTGTAGTTGGTCAGTCAGTCATTCCCATGTTTGTAACTCTGAGGATCTACTATAAATCTTTTATATCACATCTCAACATAAGAAAGAGACTGGTTTGTTTGCATGTTTACAGCAGTGAGAAAAACCCCATAAAACTATTTTTAAATTGAAAGCCATTAAAAATACACCTAACTATAGAAGTGCAAACATTTTCTATAAATATGAACTCTATTCTCCACTATTTTAAAAGTTTCTTCCTTCACCATAGACAATTTACAGTTATTGCACAACAAGTTCAACTTCCACCTCCTTACCCTTCTTGACATACTCCTAACTTGTATTACATTTCCTCACCTATTAAATCCAAAGGGCCATAGAACTCCTGCAAGATCACATCTGATTTCTTCTCTGAACACTACAATGCATGCAGCATGTACCACAGAACAGAAAAAGGAATGTAATCCTTACTCACCAAAGAGGAGCCTGAACTGCAAACTTCAGACCAAAATGTAGGAGCCTGAACCAAAACACTAGAAGTTCACTGGGAGTTTTGCCAATGACTTCAGTGGGCTTTGGAGTGTGCTTAAGACATCATTTGGACCCAAAATTAGTGTTCTAGGGGGTTGGCTCAGCAAATTTTCAATATTACAAACAGCAGCCAGATACAGCTCTAAGTTCAAACTGGGACTATTCAAGCCCCTGATTTGTTTTGGGTCCATCTCTATTCAGAATACTGTATTTTAGTACAGTTAGTTAAGACCACATAAAGACCAGCAGCAACAGAAATATGAATGAGCTAGAGCAGCAAGGGAAACGGAGACATTCAACTGATAAATCTGTACTGTGACATTTCAGAATGAAAACCACTTTGCACTTGCCATGCCCAGCAAGTGTCTGCAAGCTGTAATTCCAATCTGAGCAATAAGTGCTAGACATGGCAAGTTCCTACTTTGCACGGTTACTCTATACTTCCTATATTAACCTGGTAGGACTGGACGCAACCCAAAAGGGCCTTTCGTCGGGGAAATGCCACGAACGATACAGTCGAACAGAAAGCTGATCTGCTCTCCTTCGGCACAAGAAAGGAAAAAAACACCAGCCCCTGAAAGAGAGCACAACATTAATATAGACTTTTCATCTGCATGCATAACAGAAGCATAAAGTTTAAACATTTATATGTGGTGATCAAAAGAATGCGGTGTGCTAGTCAAAGAAAGAAATCAGTGAGATATATTCTGAGAAAAAATATAAAAGGAACTAATTTAATAGTAACACATTTTGATCCAAGAAACTTGTATGCAGCAGTCTCAATCACTTCAGCCAGCTTGCTGAGAGCCATGCAACCAAAACCAAATTAAACTAAGTCAAAATATAAGCATTGGAAAACAACAGCTGCCTGTTTCTTATATTCTCTCAGGTCAGAGCTGTGTCAGTCTTCTGCTTTAGAACACAGGAGATTTGTTTACATACAAAGTATTTACTGTAGAAATCTTAGCCGCAGTTAGAGATGGGGCTGAGCAGTTAATTTCAGACCTGAACCTCCCTGAAGTTTGATAGGGTTTGGACTTGGAACATAGGAATTGCCATGATAGATCAGAACGAAGATCCATCTAGTCCAGTATCATGTTGCCAAGAGTGACCAGTTCCAGAGACTTCAGAATAAAGTGAAAAAAAACCACAGTAGGTAAACATGGGATAAACTGCTCCCTCACATTATGTTTCAACCTGACCTCCAATAGAGATGGCTTAAGTATTCAAGCATGGAGATTAAATCTCCCTTCTTAAATTTTTGCTAACATTAGACTTTGATCAAGGCCATGAATTCAAACAGGCCTGAGTCTTGAAGTTCAGATATGAATTTTCCCATAATTTATGGGGTGTTTTTAAAGTTAGACTATACTACAACAGTTAAATATACTGATGACCGAGGAGCTACGAATATTGAGACAAACAGATCTGTCCACCTTTCTTCCGGCCCATAAACTGACCACAATCAAAGTGCAACTAAAATGCATGGAGCTGCTCAAAGGTATGCTCCACTGGTGATTCAAGAGCACAGAATAGCAGAGAAAAAGCATGTGTTGAGTCAACCACAGTGGAGCAGGCTGCAGTGTGATCTGTGCAGATTTTTGGGCGGGAGCCTGCCCCTGCACTTGCTGCTGTTTAGAATTCCACTGTCTGAGATCTATAAATACACAGAAGACTTGTGACCTTAATTAAACAGCTATTTTTATTTTTAAAAGTTTGGAAGATAGGTGCAGGACATTTCTTTATTGATTATGGCTAAATCCTGGTTCCAGTGAAGTCTCTGATAAAACTCCCATTGGGTCGAACTCTGTTTTCAGTGATGCTAGGAATATCAAAAGTAACTCCACTGAAATTAATTATGTTACTCCACATTTAACATAACTAATGAGCAGAACCTGGCCTATTATTTTCAAGCCGATCAGGGCTTAATCCTCAAAGGAGTTAGTTTTCTGTGCAGTACTGTAAGCTAAGAAATATTTTACTCATTTTCCTGCGTACCCAAATATCTAGTATCAGCATTGTGTGCCTATTATTAACAGAATGTAAGGTGATCCCATGAGTTGTCATCAGATCTTTACCCTTCATTCTGTTCTAGTACTTTGCTTTCCATTCATTAAGAAGAGCAGTCAGCAAACTTAGGAGAATCATAAATAAGTAAATAAATAAGCAAGCCTTGAGCTGCATGTAGTGTAGCAGGCTGGATAGCTCAGGGATTGCTGATACTATACAGACTCCTTTACTTCTATGCTAGTTGTCCTGGGGCCCGCTGATTCAAAAGGACCAGAGCTCCTGATTACCATTGCCACTACCACAACAGCAGCCAGAGCCCTAGCCCCCTTAAATTGCTACTGGAGTGCCATGCTCAGGGCAGCTCTGAGGGCTGGCTGGGGAGGGGAGGTCACATGCCATGCTCCAGATACCACTAAGGGTAGGTTGCCCCAGCCCCACCCCTTCCAGGAGCACAGAGCTGGACCAACCTCCCACCTCGCTCAGGGGCCTGGCAATTCTGTCCTGCCCCATCCCACTTGGACAGCTTTGTCTACACTTCTGAGTTTAAAGCAAAAGCAAGAGAGTGGTCACGGCAGGAGCGCTGGGAGAGAGGATTAGAGAAGAAACAGGCAACCCAGGAGCAGATGGAGTAATGGACTGCTTTACTGCTGACACATGTTTACCTTGGACATTCAACGCAACGTTCCGAGTGGCAACAATTTGGCACCAGTTACACCCTTTCATTCGTTTTAGTATGTTAGTGTATACATTTATTACTAGTTTTTTAAAACCTTATTTAGTAATGTTAATGCACTTACAGTGACTATTGTTGAGGGGAGGGATGGTTCAGTGGTTTGAGCATTGGCCTGCTAAACATGGGGTTGTGAGTTCAATCCTTGAGGGGGGGGCTATCTGGGGCAAATCTGTCAGGGATGGTAGCTGGTCCTGCCCTTGAGAGCAGTGGACTGGACTCAATGACCTTTCAAGGTCCCTTTCAGCTCTATGAGATAGGTATATCTCCATATATAATGAATAAAGCAGGTGATGAATACAATTATACCCACCCATTTGTTGATTACTGGTTTTTAGCTGAATAGCAATTACATACAGTCTTAATTAGCAGCATTTTCTCTGGAGCAAGTGAAAAGTTAAAACAAGACACTGTTGAGTGTTGCTATTTTTCCAGGCTACCAGGACAAATGGGGAAAATATGCTTAAATGGCAATTCCATCTGTGGCTGGACCCCTTACCACCATTCCAGACCTCTATTAATTTTTACATATCCTAACAGTCTCTATGTAAAAATCATATTCATGAGAGGAGTAGCTAACAGTTGTAGTACTATCTAGACTGGTGTTTTACAGCACTGTAACTTGCTGCTCTCAGGGAGGGGCATGTTTTTTCACATCCTAGATCAAGAAAGTTACAGCGCAGTAACTTGGCAGTGTTGATAGGTTGCCAGTTTAAATCCAACTCAGTCAGACATGACCAAAATTTATCACCTAGACTGTTATCATCTGTTGGGGGTGCATTCACCCCTTTTCATGTCTCTGTACAAACTTTGGGGGTATTCAGAAGATGAAAATACTCCTTGCTTCTACCCCTCCACCAGCCCCCACGAGCACATCCTGCACCCATATAAACGGCCAAGTACAACCCTAACTTAGCATCTCCAATCTAATTAATTTCTGAGCAAAAGGTGCAGATGAGAATAAATTTCACAACTCTTGCATATTATAGTCATTTACCACTAAACCCACATTCAATAAAAGGAGAGTTGGCAGAATTCAGTTCTTTACAATAATTTCAATAGCTAATATCAAGATGATTATTTTAAGCATTTCTTTTCAAATAATTTAGATTTTCAAAGTTCCAGGAAATTATGAGGGAATAGAAAAGGAAGGTGTTCAACAATTCAGATAGATTCAAAAAGTTAATGCTTTATAACACACAAGTTGTGGTATCACACATCAAAATATATTAAGTAAATGTCCTTAAATCATACTCTATGAATTTCTCTAGCAGCACTTTTCTTACTTTGCCAATATGTACATTTCTATTGTTATTGATGGAAATATTTTGTGGGTTTGTATGTGTACAGCAAAAACAATGTTACAACATTTCCCAAGTCAAATCTAATCCTTTACCTAATTATATGTAAATACCCCACCACCATCAGGCATAAATTTCTCAAGACATGAAAAAGGTCCAAATGTATTAATGCATCGCCAGCAAATGAAATTAAATAATAATAATGCGGTCACTTTGTCAAAAACAACTGAAAATGTCCAAAACATTTAACTTACACAGCACCCTAAATTCTGAGTGACTGAGTGAACATTTTACTGCTATTCATCAATCTGTTGTATGCTTTATTAATGGCCTGGATGTCAACACCCTGCAGTCATGTCTGCTGAAAGGTGCTAACGCCTGCCCACAAGGGTCTTGGATTCTAGGTTATCACCAGACTAAAATAAATGGGCAAGCCTAGCAGTAGACACAGCTGAGACTCTTTTCTAGTACAAAAACCGGGCACAAAGGAAGGGCTTGATGCAAAAAGCCAGAGAACAAGCCTACCTGTGGGAGAGCACAGGGCTAATCCTGGTGCTAATACTGAAGGCAGGGGCTTGGTGTTGGTTCTAAACTGTGTGAATGAGCAGAATCATTGTGATCCTAAAAGAAAGCTGAGAGAGAGGTATGTGGGGGGACATGACGTCCCTTCCAATCCTACACTTCTATAATTTCTTGGGCACAGAGCTGGAGTGTTTGTCTTGTGATTTCTACCCTCGGAGTTCTGTAAGTTCCTACCGCAGCTCAGGGAAAGAAGTCTCTCGTGCAAATTTCTGTAACCAAACAGACAAGACCAAGGAGTATCCTAACTGTGCCACTGCCACCATCCTAATGCAAGCACCACGCAGTGATCCAGACTACTGGCTTTCCACTTGTGAAAAGGGCAAATACAAAACAAGAACTATAAACAGTACATTCACCACTCTACTTACCAGACCTCAGTAAAAAGGCTACAGGTGGGTAACATCTCAGGGATAGGAGACTAAACTAAGCTCACAATCTGAAGACATAATTTGAGTTAAAGGGGCAGAAGTGTGTCCACTGTCGCTCCACACTCATTCTTCCAGGCTTCTGTGCATGGATCTTTGAAAATGTGAATACAATGCTCCCCCTCCCTCCTCACAAGGCTACTAAAAGCTTTGGTGGAGGTTCCTACTGCCTACTCAACTGCCCCACGCACTGCCATGTTCAACAGGGTTTCCGTGACGTGGAGAGCTAATGAAAGAGGAAGAACTTGCACCAAGCTGCATAAAATTGGGACTCAGCAACCTAAAACTTAATTTAAAAATAAATCAATTCCTACCAGAGCTCCTCATTACAACAGCTACTGAACAGCCTTATGCCTTTACTGGAAGTGAAAGCAATGAATTCAGAGTCCCAGTGAAAGAACAACAAAAAACAACACATTGGCTCCTGTAGCAAAATAAATGTGAAATATCTAACAGTCTAATTCAGTGTTTCTTAAATTGTGTTCCGTGGCATGCTGGTGTGCTGCGGAAAACAAGGGGCAGGTGA